AACACGGTTAATGTAAATGTATTGCTAACATATTTAACTTAACGGTAACACGATAATGATAACATTGTAGTTACACAGGTAATAATGTAACATGTTTAACACGGTAATAATGTAACATGTTTAACACGGTAATAATGTAACATGTTTAACACGGTAATAATGTAACATGTTTAACACGGTAATAATGTAACATGTTTAACACGGTAATAATGTAACATGTTTAACACGGTAATAATGTAACATGTTTAATACGGTAATAATGTAAACATGTTTAACACGCTGTTAATAATAGTAACATGGCTTTAATACGCGATAATGTAAGAGTTAACACAGGTAATAATGTAACATGTTTAACACGGTAATAATGTAACATGTTTAACACGGTAATAATGTAACATGTTTAATACGGTAATAATGTAACATGTTTAACACGTGTGTAACACGGTAATAATGTAACATGTGACACGTGTGTAACACGGTAATAATGTAACATGCTGACACGTGTGTAACACGGAATTAACTGTAACATCTGACACCCGTGTGTACACGTAAATAGTAAACATGTTTAACATCGTGTGTTTTTTGTGACGTTGCAGCACGAACGTGCCGGTGTCCGTAGACACGCCCGCGCGCACGCCGGGCAGCGTCGGACGCACGCCGCTCCCGCAGTCGCCCGCCGTCTACTTCGAGGGACTGATGCCGCCGAGCTACGAGCTTCCGTCGCCGGCCTCCAACGCGTCGTCGTACATGACGCGCCAGAGGTGCAGGCAGCAACGTGCGGTGGGCGGCACGCAGCACGCGGGGTCGGCAGGGCCGGGGTCGGTCGCGGGCGTGCCCGAGGCACCCACAGCTCGTCGTCACACTGCTGTTGTCCGACTCTACGCTGAACCTCTTCAAGGATCACAACTTCGACAGCTGTTGTGTCTGCGTGTGCAACATGAACATCAAGGTGCGGTGCAGCGCGAATCGCTTGCGTGGCTACCAGTGGTGGGTGTTTGTGTGAGCCGTGAGTGCCGGCCGGGGGTGGGTGTTGAGCGGGCCCCTTGTGTGCGTCGGGCCGACTGCATGTGTGTGCTGCTGTATGTGTATT